GGGGCTGGACCGGACGAGTGTACGAGCGAGCCAACGGGAAAGAGGTGAAGCGAGGCGCCGGCAAGGAGAAATGGCGACTGCCTAGCGGACGTACGACATTCGCTCGCCGTTTTTTTTAATTTTATTGCTGCACATTTACGGATGTTCATTTTCGTTACAATTTATTAAATGTTTTACAAGAAAATACGATTTTAAGGCTTCCTAAGGGATAAATCTTATCATAACACTTTTCGTTGAAGTTATATAGTATATGTAAAATTTTTATAAACTAATCGTAGACTGTAACACAAAATAGAATTTTGAAGTTAACTGTTGAAGATTGCTTAAACATTAGTTGACGTTTACAAATTTAAATCAATGATCATTAATTTATTGAAAACTCAAATATTCTTCGCTTTTATCTAATCAACATCTTTCTTAAATGCGTGTATTTCATTACATAACGTCAATCAATACATTTCGTGTTTTTAAGCTTTCATTACCGAAAATTGATGTAATGTTTAAATAATAGGATTTAAACAAAAGGGGGATGCACGAGTGGAGTGTGATGCAAAAAAAATATATAAAGAGATGCTCTTGTTTGCCTTGAAAGTCATGCTTTATTGCAATTCCTAGAAAGTACAAATGAACGAAATGTCATTTTTCAGTTGTTTTTCTAGTAGCAGGAAATGTTTTTGAACAAAACACTTTATAAAATATTTCTACAAATGCAATTATTACTTTTGAATTAATTGTAAAGTAAAAATGACAAAAGAAATATTCTTTGTGGCAGTTTTCCTTTTCAGGTCATCGTTAAAAATCCTTTCATTAACGATTTCAACACTGTTTTAGGCCAGCAACTTTCTAGTTAGTGAAAATACCTGTCAAAACTTAAAGTAAAGTACGTAATATCTTGAATAATATGAACTAGACATTTTGATAGTTATGTATCGTAAATGACCTAGATGTAGGTATAATTCGAAAAGGAATTCATTATTTCATCGACGAATTGACGTAGCTTTTTGCGTTCCACGTCCATTTCTTTTTGGAGGTAAAAAGAGAGAAGGATCCCATTTAGTCACGAGTCGAGGTACACAAAGGAGTTTTGAGTGGCTGTGTGGACAGGTGAGCAGGGCGAGCAGGCTGCAGGTGGACGGAGGAGGGAACAAAGGGAAGTGCGGCGAGTGAGTTGCGGTCTGGTCGGCGGGTGGGCGGGTTCCGAGCCGCCGACTGAGTAAAAAGTTCGCCTGGCGGACATGCTGACAGGTAAGGGCGAGAGTTGTGAGGGAAAGGAAGAACGCTGGAGGGTGGGGAACATCGCCATCCCTCCCCCTCGTCGGCGGTTGCTGATGAAGGATTCGATCCTTACAGTGGGCCGGATGCTGTGTTTGGAGGTCGAAATCAGCAATTGTATAATTCACGCTCATGATGTAATGAACGTAGTTCACCGTATTTGGTTTCAGTGAAGAGAAACAATGAAACCATTAGTTTTCCGACGTTCAGATATTTTTTAAAATTTTTAAAATATTCTTAAAAAATATCCCGAATCGTCGGCAAACTTATGGTTTCATTGTTTCTATCCACTCAGACCAAATTCCATGGAGATCGAAATTTTAGGTTGGCTAATCTTGCGGGTGGTTAGAGAAGCCAAAAGTAAATAAAATCATGGATTAGTAAAAATTCATTTTGAACCATATTTAGCTTACATTTTTACTAAAAGTATTGTGTTAACATTAGGTACTGTATTTATTAGTTTGAATTTACCTTCCTTGCACTTAATGTTTTAGGCACTCATATAAGCATATTGCCTGTGTTATAAGTGTAAATTGTTAAAGCCAAAAATGAATACATGTTCTTGTTTTCCTAAAAATTTCTGTCATAGAGTGATATAACTAATTATTCAGAATGGTCGTAAAAATTGTATGGTATAAATTTTATAGACTTCGCTTAAAATACTACATATTTAATACTGTAACATATAATGAATCTACCTTTCAGATGTCAATTGTTTCGTGTAGTTTTGTTACAAAAAGTAAATTCCTTGCTAGACACACGTGCAAGAAAAAAAATTTAATCGATTGTGCGCGTTAATTTTTATTTTTCTGTACAAACTTTTGGTTTCGTACTTTCACTAGTAATTTCGTTCTTTCAATAGTAAGTTATCATCATTTCAATAACTTTTTCTAATTACATTCCCCAAGAAAGTGAGTGTTGAGTATAATGACATTAATGTGACTATTGAAGTACTATCCACCTAGTTTTAATGCTTTTTAATGCTAAGTAATTGGAGCGCGTTGAATGAATGCAACGTTTCCTATCTACGCCGTAAAGCAAGAATAAATATTTCAAGCCTTCATCAAGGCGCGATAAAGCAGAACACCCGAACCAAACAACTGAAAACGAGTCCTCTTTTTTTTTCACCGGCGGCGGCGACTCGAGAACAAAGATCGGGAAAGGAACTTCCGTCATTTTTTCCCCCTGCTCGTGCAAAGCATGGGGGAGGGGGGGCGACTTTGCAGAATTATTCCTTCAATTTTTGATGCCGCATATTCTGCACCTTCTTTTTCGGGACTACGACCCTCGCGAAATATTTAAGCGGAAGCCTCCGGCAGCTCCCACCTCGCCGCGCCACCGTCGCCCTCCTAACTCTCGCTTCCGCGGAAATATCGTTCTCCGTTCCGCTCACTTGCCCTGCTCGCCCAGCCTCGCCCTCGAGTTCACCCCCTCCCCCTCTCCCTCCCCCTCTCCCACCCCTCTCTTCCGCTCCTTCCTGCGCCCGCCCGCCTGCAGCTGGGCAATTAACATGCCGGATTTATGGCCGTAATAACTCCGAATGAGTGTCAATAACACGCCCGCTAGAACCGCAGGAAATTAAATTATATTTCTTTTTTTTATTGACGTCATAATACAGTTGTTATTTATATCGTAGCCTCAAGCTCTCAAGGAGTTTTCCTAGAGGTTGTTCTGTGATCGTAAGCCGTGAGGTGTTGGTTATTGGGTTTGCGTGTGGTGTTGGCTCTGGGTTCGTTTTCTCTTCTTATTGTTTTTCTTCCTAATATTTCTCAGGTAAGCAATTTACACAATGGTGTGAAAACGTTTCTGAGAATTTTCTAGTTCTACTCAATGAGCGATTTATAGAAAAAAGTTGCTTCACTGTTGAGAATAATTCTTTTGCAATTTTTTGTATTAATTGTGAAACTATTTTCATTAATGATTTCACAACTAATATCTTTTGTTCCCTTTGCGCACATCTTTTGCGTAATAAAAACCGTCAAGGTAGATGTTCTATACTCATTTCATGAAGCATGAAATGTGTTTCAAGTGTCTTTAAATGTGCAAATCTTTTGCCTAATAAAAGCCATCAAGGTAGGAGTTCTACAGGCATTTCGTGAAATATGGAAGTCTGTTTCACGGGACTTAAAAACTCTACGAGACATTTTATAGAAGACACAAATATGACTTTCTATTCTACTATTGAACTCAGTTATAATTTCGAGGTATATTGATTATATTTATTCATATTCACAGAATTTACTTTAATTTTCGGCAAATGTACTAACTCCAGTGGTTCCTTCTTCCGCAGGGGGGACACGGAGGATGGACACGTGTGGCTGAGCGTGGTGTTTGGAGGCGTGTCCATGTTGGCGAAGGAGACTGGCATCACAGTTCTTGTGGTGAACCTGCTCTACGACTTTTACAGATCATGGCACAGTATTAAAAGGTAAGCGTTTGCTACTAAGCTTCACTTATAGGCGTCAGTAAGCGCTCACAGAATTCGTAACAACTTCTGCGTGCAGAATAATGTAAGATGTGTTCCTTGATTCAACATTCTTACGCTAGAAATGTTATGTAAATTATTAATACATAGTTTTTGCATTGCGGTAATTATTATTATTTAACATTAGCTTGTTTCAATATTTAACTAATTGTGTATTGTTTTTTCCAAATAATTTACCATAAAATAATCAAAACGAATTAAAAACTAGAAAACGTTTTTCCTTTTAAATCTTTTATTGAATTAAAAAATTCCATTTTGTAACAATATTTTTTACTTACACCACAGTTATTAGCGAGACACTAGAACATCTACATAAACAAACCTAAGTGCGTGAGTTGCAGCTCACGACCGCTAGGCGTGACCAACAGTACACGTCACACGAGAGCTTCAAATGCATGTGGACATGGAAAAATTCATTTGAATTTTTCCACACGTCTCGCACCCCATATACTTTCGAATTTTAATGTCAAATCCGGGCCATTCCCCTGTCCCACGGTTTGTAAATTAGAACACATTCACACCGAACACAGCTCGCTGTCCTTCGCATCGCACACATCATTCTCTTTTCCACGCTCCGCATCTTTTCATAACGAGAATGATAATTAAGCGTACAATTGAGTGCTCGCCCGCTGCTGCGGAGCTATTTTTAAAACGCAATGCGATTGTTGGTTAATTTTTAATTGTAGCTCTTCGCGTGCCGTGCTTCAAAGACGTGTAATTTAGTATTTAGGGCGCTTAGGGCCGCCCGTGCCGTCAGCGGAAGGGCTCTCCAGGCAGCGCCACTCGCCCTTCAGCTCCCGTCTCCTCGTGACAAATGCGCAGCGGCGGCCGTGCGCTCACGCTCGGTGGATTCGCGCAGAGGCTGAGAGGTTGTCGTGGGGGCAGGAGGAGGCCAATAGGCAACTGCAGGGCCTCCGAACGGGAGGTCCTAGGGGACTGCAGACGGGGGCAGGATTTTCGACACTAGTTAGATAGCTAGGCCGAGATCAGTCGCTGTCTGGAGGAGAATTCTAGCGACCGGCTGCCCTGTTCAGTAGTTTTTCGTAGTTTCTTTGATCAACATCCGACGAATGCCGGAGTAGTACACTAAAAAACGGGCCACGGACCACGCGCGATATTTCCTTCCTCTTCTTTATGCTATCATTCCTCCATACGTACACACCCTTAAACGCAGTACATGCACTACACTACCACGCATGTCAGGACACCAGTTGGGAGCTTAGGCCATGTCCGGGTTGGGACGATACCCCGCCGATGGCAGATCCGTGGTTGGGGAAAAGCCATCTAACAGAGTTGTTTGTCGGCGCGGGGTCTCGCCATTCAGGGGGAAACATGAGTCATCGCCCGCGGCAAAACATGCACTACGCTTACGAAGTTAATGACCTTAGAAGTTGACGCGCCTGGAATCACTGCTCAATCAATCAATTGTTCGAGAATTACTCTTAACTGACAGGATTCCGCTTTCAGTTAATGAAAACACATAATATAATTTCGTTTCATAAATGTGACTGTAGATGAGTTATTTAATACACAGTCCCATTGACTTAATTCTACGGTGGGTTAACTTATTGTTAGTTGTTCAAGCAGAATTATGAATCCTGGAAATCAAAGATTGCGATTCATTATTATTATTATTATTATTATTATTATTATTATTATTATTATTATTATTAAAGAAAGCGTTTTGAGGATGCAAAAAATGTTAGTGCTTAAATAAGGACCAGAAATTTAAAAAAGTATAAAAAACTAAATCCGATGGAGAACAGTTGGGATTTAAATTTCTCGTTTCAACATTTAATTCACCCGAATAATTCGATTTTAATTGAAAATATTCTCGCAGGCAAAGTGTTATTCTAAAACCACCCGGTCAACAGCGTTTTAGGAGCGCGCACAGAGAACGTAATGTACTCAGCAATTGTCAAGACCCTTTTGGGAACAAATGGTCCATAAACAGCCTCTTGACGAGGCCTACAGTACCAGTGACCTCGACATGGAACACTAAAGAAAAGAGTGCGCTCATGGGCGTGGAGCTCCAAATCCTCATTATGTTTGCACTCGGGCCAGCGTTCATCTGCCGCAGTCCCCTCCGCTAATATAGAATTTACGTCGTTTAAATCCACCGCACGCGAGCGTTAAAAAAGCTCTGTCAGGCGGCACTCGACCCCCTGCTCTTCGCCCGCGCGCGTCCTCTCGTGTCCCTGAAAATGAGCCGAGTGGGGGTGGGCGAGGGGCGGGCGGTCCAGGCGTCCGGCCATTTTTATGCCCAGCGCGTTGTAATTTCAACACGCGCCATTTAACATATTTCCGCGGCGGCGGCGGTGAAGTCGGTGTGAGGGCGGGAGCGCGCTGCGCGTGTGTTTTGAATGGGCCAGCGCATCGGTCGCCGAGGCGAGTAGCCTCGCCGCACTGCTTTCCCCCCAGCTTCTATTCTCACTTGCCTCTCCCGAACCGGCTCCGCTACCGCGCCACTCCCCACCCACCTCCACCCCACTTCCCAACCCAACGTCCACCCCACTCCACCCCACTCGACCAGCCCCACTTCACACCCCACCCCACTTCCACCCTCCCCACCCCCCACCCTCCCACCCACTTCCCCCTCCTTGCGCCGCCGCCCAAAACCCTCCACCGCTCCGCACTCCCGGCTCGCCACCCCCGCCCCGCTCCGCCCCACTCCAACCGCTTCGACCCACGCCACCCCGAAGCGTCCCGTCCTCCCAACCCGTTCCCACCTCGCTCCCGCCCCGCCCGCCCACTCACCCCTGTTTCTCGCCACTCCGCTCCTGCTCTCACACCCGCATTCCGTCCCATTCCACGCATCGCTCTTGCAGCCGGGCTCCCCCGCTCTCGACTTCCGCTCCCAATCCCGATCTCCCCAGCTCCTGCCCGCTCCTAGTACACACTCCCGGCCACCCGTTTTTCTGCTCCAATCACCATTCCGACCCGATTTCGTCCTGCTCGGCTTCTTTCCGCTCCAACTGCCGTTTTTCCATCCACGCTTGCCGTCTCCGTTCTTCGTCCTCGCTCTTGCTCGATTCCGTCTCCTGACCCGCTCCCGACCCTTCTCGCCAGCACTCCCACACCGCGCTCGCCCCGCCCCGCTGCCGCCTGCGCCCCACCCCCGCGCCACTAGAGCTCTTCCCGGCTGCCGGCCGCGCGCTCGCTCTCAGCCCTCCCGCAGCCGCTTCCGCTTCCTCTTCCCAGGCCTCGTGCGACTCATCTGCCACGATCCTACTCTCCATGATCCGTGCTGCTTCGCCCAGCCCAGCGCTACTGCTTCTCCACAGCCCTTCCCCATGGCCCGTGAAGGATCTCGCGGCTCGAGCGTTTCACAGAGCGACCATTTCGTTCCCATAGCGCCAACCACCAGCTGACCCTTTGCTGGCCCTTCTATCTTTCCAAACTCGTGGTTCCAAAGTCCTGTCGCCAGCGTAAGTGGCTCGGGATATCAAATTGATGCCACCGCAATGTGTCTGACCGGGAGATTCTGAAGTTCGTGTCCCGACGGTGGCAGGGTTTTCGACACTGGTTACGAAACTATCTGGATTACATCGGCTGTCTAAGGGAGAATTCTAGCGACCGGGTGAAATGATTGGTAGTTACCTGTAGTTTCCTCGTTCAATACAGTCGAATGCCGGAACAATGCCCTTGCAAATGGGCCACGAACCGCGCGCGATCTCTTATCCCTTACACACACTTATACTCACATACTACACTACCACACATGTCAGAATCTGAGAGATGGTCCCGAATGGGACGGTGTCCCGCTGCTCGACGTGTAGATCGGCGCCGGATCGCGTCATCCACCGAGGAAAATCCTGATAGCGCTCGCAAGCAAATGCAAATGCTTCGAAAAATATGTAATAGTAACTAAAGAATACAATATTATACTATTCTTCTAATCTGGCCCTTTTAACACGAATTACAGGTTTTTACCCTTTTCAGACCTTACAATGCTAAATTCTCAATACGTTTTCACACTTACGATAATTTGCGAGAAAAATTCATCAAACAGTTAAGTCATAAATAAATACCGCAATTTACCGCTGTCAACGTTATCTCAAGTAGTCATTTGCAAAACTCATTACAATTCGAAAAATAAACAGAATAAACTTTGAGTAGGATATCAAAATTTGAGAAAACATGCACACAGTACATTTCTCTCATAATACGTTACACACATTTTTTAACTGTTTTTGACGTTAAATAAAACAAATCTCATAAGGGTTCCACCCACATCAACCTACTAACAATTAAAAAAATTCTATGAGTTAGAAACTGATAGCTTGTCAAACGAAGTACGAAAAATTCGAATTGACAGTTTCAAAAAATTGTAATCCAACGTTATTTTTTTTTACTACTGACCTTTTGAAAACACTTATTTTTGTAGAACAGATTCCATTTCATAACAAATCTCAATCGCCCGACCTTCGTCAATATACATCAATACCATCAGTATTTTTCTAAAGGTATTTTTTGTTAGCAATATTCAAAATATAAAGCATGCGTCAGAAATGTGATCAGCACTACTTTTTTTGCGTTCTTTGCTTTACAAGAGGAAAAAATTTAAAGAAAATATGAGTAGACGTTTCTGAAAGTATAATTATATAAATTATTTTAAAATCGCCTATGTTTCGCGTACAATTGCGCAAAAAATCATTAATATTTTCCAAAAATTGTGCCTTACGGTATTTGAAGATCTCATTTTGATGATCAGCTTTAATTATGAGGAAATTTCTTCATTATTGAAGTTGTCAGACGTTAAAAAGATTTGAGCGTTTATAAACTTTAGAAATTCAAAAAATTCAACACAAAAGCGAGTCATATCTTTTACGCTGTTAGGGGAAAAATTAAAGAAAATATTTGGAGCCATTTTTGAGAAAATATTGTAAATATTGTTGAGTTTTCAGGGAAAGTACCCCCAAAAATCAAAATATCCGTTTCATATTCAATTGCCGGTGACATTACTCAGATCAATCGAGGAATAACATTTTAACCATTTAGACGCTGGTGTTGACTACATCCAGGACCAAGATTTGACAACACATTTGTTATCCAGACCTGGCTATTAAAAACTGTTTTTTCTCGCAGTATTACAATACTTTCTCTAAACTGCTTAAAGGTAGAAATAGGATGCTCAAATGGTTTGATCAAGATACGTAGTAAAGTGGCATAGGCAGTGAATAAAGAATTTAGGAAAGTTAATCGTGACGAAAACTAAACACGTGTGGAGCATCCGATTCATTAAGAGCATTTGCTACGTCTTCTTTTAACAAACAGCCCGTTTGAAATCCTTTCTGACATT